ACGAAAGCGTTAATACTGAGTGCAAAAAGGTGAATACGATGTACAAAAGGATTAATATCACGCAACTTTGAACAAGTCATCAATGATACACGTTAATGCAATTATTTAAAAATTCATGTAATCCTCTATTAACTCATTAAACTTGCGCTCACTAATCTGGAAATATGCAATATTTACGGAAACCATAACTGGCAGTAACTGGCAGTCCAGTTAAAGGTTGAATTTACCAAAATCACTGCGATTAAATAAAACATTTTTGAACGGCAATTTTGAATTTTGAACACAAGTAAAGAAGCAAGTTACCTGGAAGATCTCTTCTCGTAATGGCTCATCGACTCCTCGGTGAGGGTGACCTCGAGCAGCTTCGCCTCGAATGTCCTGAAGATATCCGGCTGGGTAGCCTTCAGCCTGAGTCCCCTGCCGTGAAACTTTCCCAGCAACTGCACGCACAATACCAAGTGATCCACGTCCAATTCCCCGTCCGCCTGGGAGTAGCCGACCGCCTCCAAGTCCTCTAAGACGAAAACCGGTCTGCCGTAGCGGCTTAGATCGGCGAGGTAGCACCTGGGGACGAAATCGGCGCCGTACTTGGCCGTCATCTTCGAATAAAACATCTCCTCGTTCTGGTAAGCATCGAAGCTGGCCGCGTGCGAGCGTTCTTCGTCCTCTGGAAACAGTTTCACCAGCAAAGGGAAATTGACCGGCTCGCCTGAGAACCGGATCAGAGCGTCCACGCGATAAATCTCGCTGCTCCGACTCAGCTCGACCAGACGAACGGTCGCGGACTCGAATTCGACGAACTCCCGTGATCCCGGCTCGCAGAAACGGCGGTCGTGCACCATCTCCGGGATCAGATCGTTCTCGATAAAATCGATACTCTGCTCGCGAGCCTCCTGGGACTTCATGCTTCGATTTATCTATCGGCGGGAGCAACGCCGCCGTGGACAGCGAACTCGGACTGCGATCGATAACGAAAACAAGCCGCGCGCAATACGGCAACGAATATCGAAAACGTTGACACTGATTGACCACCGCTACTATCCGAGTCCTCGAGGTAGATACAGGTGTACACCGCCGACACGCTCGGACGAACCGCGCCGGTGATAATCTTCGATCTTTCCGCGAACACCGCGCACACGCCGGTTGTTCGGCGAAACCTCGATCGGACTTCCTTCGTTCGGCCCGATCTTCTGCAGGGCAGAACTTCTTGGTTTAATCGATCGGTAGAGAAACTTCTCTCGGGAAGATCGTAAATTTCACAAGCCCCGCTCCGCACGGTTCCCGGGCACCTCCCGAAGGAAACTTCCTACGCCGAGGATTATGATGCAACCGCTGATCGATTTAGGCGAATGACAGACTAATCCACTGACCGGCTTTGAACATGTGTCCGGGCACTGGCTGTAACGTGGTATTTATCACGGTGAGTTCGGCGCGCCGATGCATGCGTCGCGACCAGACAGTCGCTAGTAACGAGCCCGAAGTATTGTAGGGAATCGTCATCTCGCGTGCTCTCGCTCCCCTCGATAACAATCCTCTTATCTTCTAATGACGTCACAGACATGTTTATACTCCTATACCACGACCCTGACAGCCGGAGACGGTCGTCGACACCGAGCGCGGGCGGAGTTTTGATCGGTCTCGAGACCGGGGCTGGCTCCTTTTCAGCCGGCGATTAGGGGAATGTGGGCTGGGGAGCCTCGATTCGTTCATCTCAATGAAATATTCAGCTCCAATTGCTGCAATTAAATATTTCCCCCCCGGACAATCCGCCGACTTATTATCACGAACGCGCACGATTTCGGTGCTGCTTGTCGCGGACTCGGCGAGTTTGCTGCGATAAAAAAAAAGACCGACGAGTGGCCGACGAGTTTTTTTTAGCGATACGTATGTTTCTAGGTTGAAAGAAATAACAAAAAATAGAAGTATACAAATATAATGTTAAATTTTCGTTTGGATATCGATTGGAATTCGGAGTTGGATTGGAAGTCATTGGTCTGCGAATTTTATGCGTATACGACAGAAATGAGTGCGTAGAATTTAAAACAATGAAAATATTAGACATTTTAATACATTTAGATATTATTTTCAATTTACTCGAATTATTAACCGTTCACGGACGAAGATTTCTAAAAGAATATATTTATTTCTAATATATTATATATTTTTATTTCTCTAAGAATATATTTCTCGATGTAAAAGAAATAAATCATACGCGAAAACATAACAATGTACCCTGATCTTTTTTTATGAACATAGAAAACTTATGTTTGCAACTTCTGGAATAAGTCGTACAGTCCTTATGTCATCGGTATGTCGACATTTGTCCTCGAAAGGTTAAGGAAAGAAAGAACGTTTGTATTCGCAGTGTACGGATCATACGTAACAAACATTTTTTATTTAGAAAGTGTCATAATCGGAACTCTTTCACTTTATTTAAATAATTTCATCTTAAATTGGTTGCAATAATTTTTAATAATATTTTCATTGCCAAAGTAGAGGTTTATCGTGAAAATTGTTATTTAAATCATTTCATCTTAAATTGATTGCAATAATTTTTAATAATATTTTCATTGCCAAAGTAGAGGTTTATCGTAAAAATTGTTATTTAAATAATTTCATCTTGAATTGGTTGCAATCATTTTTAATAATATTTTCATTGCCAAAGTAGAGGTTTATCGTAAAAATTGTTATTTAAATAATTTCATCTTGAATTGGTTGCAATCATTTTTAATAATATTTCCATTGCCAAAGTAGAGGTTTATCGTAAAAATTGTTATTTAAATAATTTCATCTTGAATTGGTTGCAATCATTTTTAATAATATTTTCATTGCCAAAGTAGAGGTTTATCGTAAAAATTGTTACTCGTCACGATGAATGTAACGAGAATGGCACACGAAAAGGAAAATGGTACTTGGCTACTTTGCTCTCCACTTTTCTACGTTCATCGTATGTCCGGACAGTTAATAGGACGAAGAGCGTTAAGTAAATGTAGAAAATCCATCATTCTTCATTAAAATGTTTGTCCCAGAGCGTCTGCATCGCAACGGAGGCTTCCCTGCGTCATTCACACTGTTACACAATCAGAGATGATTCATCCACTTGGAGATAAAATATTAAGCCCTAAAATGCTTTATCGCACTCACACCGACTGAAAAATTTCCCGTGCATGTGAGAGCCCTTGCATTTAAGCGCAGAAAGATAATCCTTGCTTTCCTGTCAGTCGATTCGTTTCCACGTCGGCATTGCTATAGTATAGCCGCTAATAACAAAGGTCCACCGACATCGGTAATTAACTAACATTCGTAAATTGCGCGAATATTGAGGCCGTATTGATTTTGTGTCACCCATTGATTATAAATCTACTGAACAAGTCATCATGATCATCACTGGATGCTCTATTCGACAATCGCCGCAAAGATACTTTTATAGGAAATTGTCGACTAAATATATAAATTCCATTCGTTTTCATGAGATAAGTGATGAAAAAATATTAGTTATAAATAGTCGGACAGAGAGAAGCGAGCAGCGAAGCACGTGGCGGCAAAACATCGTGTACATGTTGCCGACGAACATTTTCTCGACCTACTCAAAATGTACATCGTCCTAACACTTCTATCGGGCCGTTTCTTCTTCAGAAATGTCTACAGAATCCGATCCTGGGTAGAGTTTTCGTGCCGAACAAAAAACTTTTCGTAAAAGTACAAAAATATCGCGCAGAAACTGCTCACGTCGACACTTTTTTAAGCTTTGACATCAATTTGTTGCTATTTAGAACCAAAAACAATGAATAAATTGCATGTCACTATATTCGGGAAACTTTCCTCTATCTTTTGATACCGATTAGAACTTTCTAACGTTTGTACTTTTCATGCAATACCTCATTTTTGTCGAAAATTTTGGGTTTTTACAAAAGTTCGTTTATTTAAAAAACTGAGGGTGATGGAGCAATTCGGTTTTCGGATTCTTGTTCAGGGAGCGAAGCTCTACAAGAATTTCATAGTGGCTATAGGAACCCAAAAATCGTGTCGAACAGTGTAATTGGAGCTGCGGTTAACGGAAACGATTAAATGATGGCCCATCTTTAAGAACGCCGTAAAGATGCTCGTGTTCCAGGAGAACGGGCCCGGGCGTAAATGTATTCGACATAAAAACACCATTGTTATAAAACTTAATTAAATTCCGCGGGTCGAGCGCCCTACGTGTCACGGCACGCTGTTTCGTTTAATTAATTAAGTAAATCACCGAGTCAAGATCGATGCCGGCGAGCTGCGAGCAAAGATGGAAAATTAGATAATGATGGTACAGCCGGGGACGCAGCAATTATAATAATAAGGAAATCTTCTAGGACGCGACCCGTCGAGTTTCATGGGACATTACGGTACGAAGCGACTCAAAAAGGTCTTTGTCCTCGTTCCGGCGCTGTTTACCACGGCGAAGTGATTTTAATTCTAATGCCTCTGGAATGAGTTAGGATAGAGCTGAAACTCGTTTGCTGTTATCGTTGATTGCGCGACCTAACGATATAAACTTATTTATGATTGCTATTTTTTTCCAAACAGGGTCGATGATCCCTGCAATGGTATTATTCGTAGCACTGTAGGGAAGCGTTTCCACTATTTATATACTTAATCAACGTTTATTGCACACGCTTCATTCATTTCTGCTTTTAGCATCAGAATTATCGAACCATAAATGCGGCTAATGTATAACGCTTCGTAGCAATGAAAAGATTGGATTTATTCACAGCTGTAAACAATTTCTCTTATAGTACACTGTAATAGAATAAAGAAATTTCTCATAGAATGATTCTTATAATTTCAGTGACCCCGTGAATGGAAAAATCAGAAACCAGACATTTTGACTGGTTTGGTAATTCTAGGTGTCAAATCGACGAATTATATCTCATTTGTCGCATTTTAAAGAAATATTGGGTTGGCAACTAAGTAATTGTCGATTTCAGTTACAGATGTCTCTCACTCCCATTTTTATGATATTCGTAAATGTTATATTATAAAATTATTATTATTATTATTATTATGTTATTTTTTATAATCCGTGAATGTTAGCAACTGGACAAATTAAATGCAGCGGTCAAGGAAAAGCGAGCAGAATTGGTCAATCGTAAAGGTGTCATTTTCCAGCAGGACAATGCTAGGCCGCACACGTCTTTGTCCACTCGGCAAAAATT